TAGATTTTGATATAAAAAAAGTGACTGTGCACCTCTCTTTGGCCAAGAAATTTACTCTTTTTTTAAAATCTTTTTTTGGCTTTTTTTTATTTGTTCATTCTACAAAGTCTATAAATATTTAATGTTTTGATACTTTTTTGTTTCCATCCTTTACATATTCCATGTAAATCAAAGGAAGGTAGAAACTCTTTACCTCCCCCACGTTAGATTACTCCTCCGGTTAAATGCTTAAAATGATTATGTAGCTGATGTGTGGCTAAAATGCTATACCTTATACCATTATTTACATTAAATGATTACGTTTTGTATGTAATCTTGATGATGCATGTAACATTTGAGCTTAGTTGAGTTTATTTTATGTGTAGGAATATTTGGACATGAAATATAGAGAAGACTGCGCGAAGTGGCACCAAAACAATGAAGTAGAGCAAGATATGGAGCTGGTGCCTTACACGTCGCAAGGCCTAGTGAAATTGGCACCTTACACGGCGCTAGCCGAGGAAAGTTCAGTGCCTTACATGGAGCAAGGCGAGAACTTGGCGCCTCGGATGCCGCGAGGCACAGTCTGGCGCAGAAAGTGCGCCGCCTCCTATAGCGTCTCACAACAATACCCCTTTGTCCGGGAAAAGTTGGTCTCCTTGTTAGTTTTGGGCTGGGACACTTCGACCCTAACGTATAAATACTCCCTACGCTGGTTGTTGAGTGGGTGAGACATTATTGAAGAGAGAAAAGACCGCTGGAACATATGCAAGCAACGGATCACACTAATTCTTCCTCCAATTCTTTCTCATTTATAGATTAATGCTTTCAATTATTAATATTGTTAGCATGACTATGAATAGCTAATTTCTATGTAGAGTTTCATTGAACCTATTGAAAGATGAATTCTCGTTACATGTTAATATAATTTTGCCTTTGAATTTATCTACGTATTCAACTACGTGCTTATTTTAGTTAATTGAAGAGCTCTGAATTAACGGTCTATTTAGTGTGTATTGCTTGAGAAAGTATGTATATTTAAGTTGTTGAACAACGTTACTTCCAAGGTATATGAGAGAACAATACGGAGGATTCAAAAGCGGTATTAGAGATAACGAATCTTTGACGTGATCATAGTGAGTGCAAGCTAGCGTAATTAAAAAGAATATGACTAGTACATTATTGTAGTTTTTCGAGAGAGAATTACGATAAGTCGAGTGCTCACGATCAGTAGAGAATACTTAGGTAAAATTATAGGAACACAGCGGGAAGGATTCCAATAATTGGGGAAATTATAACTCTAGGATTTTCCAATCTTGTCTCCGACCTTTAGTATCTTTAGTTGATAATTTTACTGCTTTAATATTTGTTAGTTAATTAGTTAGAAATAAAAATCTTAATCTTTATGAATCAAAAGATTGTTCGAACCTGTCTTCTTAGCTAAACCTTGTTCTCTGCGGAATTCGACTTCAAACTCTTACAACGAATTATATTTGCAACGACCGTTTAGTCCTTTTTATAAAGCATAGTTGGTCAGCAGCGTTAAGCTCTTTCTTCTTTCATCAATGATTTAAAATATTTTTGGAATTTATTAAATTTTTTTGTTCATATTAATTTCCTCCCATTGATCTCTTCATTTTCTTTAATTTGCATGTGGTGATAGACATGGAGTAACGTAAATAACATGGACAAATGCAAGTAAACTCATCAGTACAAGGGATTAACAACCCACTAGAACCAAAGAGGAAAAACTTTTATGGAGGATAAGCATATAAAAGTATTGTCTCACTTCTCCTCCTAATTAGTTCTCTTAAGTGTATTTTTTTAATCATTTTATTACGATGTTAATTGAATTTTTTGCAACTATAGTTAAATAAATATTGATTTATTTCATGTATATTTAGTTGAAATTTTGTAAATTTTACAAAATACGGAGAAGGGCCTAAAACGCCCCTGGACTATAAAATTTGGTATACTATTGCCCTCCATCTACCTATCGCGCTAAAAATACCCCCGACTATAAGTGGACCGTTAAAAATAAGGGCAAACTTGAGCCGAAAGGTTCACGACGGGGGCATTTTTAGCCCGATAAGTGGACGGAGTGTAATATTATACCAAATCTCATAGTTCAGGAGCATTTTAGGCCCTTCTCCGTTAAAACAAACTTTCGCCCACTTTCAAAAACTTATAATTTTCATTCTCAACCATGAAAATATGTGTATCGTGAGAAGTCATTTACTCTATCATGATTCCAATCGATTAAGAAAACCCATAGTCATTTTGCACCTGTCATCTCTTTAACTTCTTTTGTTTTGAAGCAATTGACATATTCGGGAGTAAAGACATGTAAAAGATCTTGGAAAGGGTGATTTTATTATTTTGCAACACTTTACTAACTCCTACATATTACTCTCCACCTATTAAAGTCCAAACAAAATTAGCATTTTCCACGAGACATAGATTAACGCGCATGAAGTTAACCTACAATTCTCAAAAGTTGTTTACTTTGCAACAACAAACAGGATAAAAAGAAATAAATTGTCCTTAGGTTGATTCCTTTTTCGTAGTCTAATTAGATAGGGACTAAAAGGCCCTGTTTGTTTCTACTTAATGGAGGTCTAAATCTAATCATTCAAATCTCAATCCATTTCTTCCCTTCTACAACCACGTAATTGCTCTTAATAAAGCTAAATCATTCCGATCTTGTACTGTTGTACATAGTTTTAAAATCATTAAGACTTTGCGTACTTATAGAGTCATGTAAAGGTTTTTTAACTACAGTTATCCATTACAACCACCACCACCAACCACTTCTATGGTCAGCCACCAACGCACAACCACTATTGCCAACTACTTGTACCATCGGCGCCTTCACCCCCGAGCTACATCGCACAACAACCACCACAATTGCCGGTCATCACCACCAACCACGCTACCACTAGCCACAGCACTACCAACTACCTCCACCACCATCCACCCAACCTTCACTGCCAACTACCATGACCAAACACATCCACCATCAACCACCAACAACAACCACCTCCATCGCAAGATACCACGACCAACCACTTCCATCATCAACTGGCCTTTGAACAACCACTACCACAATCACTTCTAAGATTAGCCACCACTGCAAAAATACCATCACTGACCACATGTATCACTAGCCACCTTCATCCCCAAGCTACACTGCACAACTACCAACAACAACCACCACCATCGTGTGTCATTACCACCAATCACATTTACCACTAACCACTGCACCGCCAACTACCTCCACTACCATCCACCCAACCTCCATGGCTAGCTAGTAGCTACCACGACCAACCACCTCCACCATCAGCCACCTTACCACCACGACCAACCACCTCCACCGCCAACTACCACAGCCAACCACCTCCACCGCTAGCTACCACAATAAACCACCTCCACTGCTAGCCTTCCCCACCAATCACTTATACCACATCACCAGCTGCCAGCCTCTACTGCCAACCACCACTAGCAACTACGATATGATCGCTGCAAAAACACCACTGCTAGTCACCTGCACCAATGACAACCACCACTAGCCACCACCTCAAAATTGACATCGTTGAAGGCCACCACAACTAGGGGTGTTCATAAAAACCCGAAAAACCGAACTAAACCAAACTGACCAAAAAAACCGATACTTTTTGGTTTGGTTTGGTTTTGGTTTTGAATGTTAAAAAACAATCAAATTTGGTTTGGTTTTAGTTTTAATCACAAAATAACCGAAAAAACCGAACCAAACCGACTATAAGAGTAGCTATTTCAAATTTATTATTACACCTATATATATGTATATTTTTATACAAAGTTTCAAAAAATTTATGGTGAATGTTAATCGTTTGCACTTTTAGTACAGTTCTTTACCTTTACATTATAGTTTGATTGGTAATTTTCTTTTGTTAAGTGTAAGAATCCATTTCATGTTAAAAAAAATATATTTTTAATTGAGTCCTTAAATTATTCATCACTATTTGATTCAATTATCATCAATATATCTTAATAAATAATAGATTTTTCAAAGGGCAATTGATTTGATAGTGTTACATTGAAAATGTGATCGCCGGAATATGTGTTTGGTAGTGTATGTCTTATATTTAAGAAAAAACCGACAAATAACCGAAAAAACCGAAAAACCGACAAAACCCGACATAAACCGAATCGAGAAAAAACCGACTTAATTGGTTTGGTTTGGTTCTAATATTTGAAAAACCGACTTACTTGGTTGGATTTCTTTTTAGGGAAAAACCGATCCAAACCGAACCACGAACACCCCTAACCACAACTAACAATTAGAGTGTGATTTATCAAACAATAGTTTCTACAACACCATATCAATCATAAGTTTCTCTAATATTTTGTTGATATAACATTTAACTATGATTATTGTTTTTAAATTCTCTATTAATTAATTTTTGAATAAAGATAATATATGCACACATTCAGATGCCGGAAAAAAAAAACAATCATAATTATACAGTATCCAGATTAGACACAATTTGTAAATAATCAATATGTAACTAGATTCACATTATCTTTATCTTAACAAAAGCAAATGGGTCTAAGTAGCTTCCTCACTCGGCTTAGCTTCAACTCGGGACTGTTACACAGCAAGATAGAGAGATAAGGCTAACTCGTCTAATCCCTTCTCGAAAGATAAAAGCCTCTTCTCCCAGCCATATTACTCCCTCCACCATCCCTTTCCACTTCTGTGCCACTCCCACTTCTCAGTACTACATATGCTCCGGTCAAAAATTTTGTTTTAGATTTCTTTTTATACTTAATCATGAATGCATGCCTGGCTAATACCAGCTTATTAGTTAGCTGTTAAATTATTATTTCTTCGATATAGCTGTAGTAAATTTGATCACTATCACAGTCTAGCCCAAATTATGTGATATGATTCTGCAGTAGTGTAATCCAGTCTGAACCTGGCTCGTACTAACTGCTTCAAACCATAAAACACATAAACAACTACAAAAGGAAAAGGAAAAGTTTACAAAAGAAAATCAAAGAAACAATACCAGCTCAATGGCTTCCTCCGTGAATGGATGCCAGTAGCGCATACCAACATACACCTTTGCAGGCACATTCCTTTCCCACAGTGCTTTTCTCAAGGCTTCAGCCTAAAAATAAAAATATTATTAAACAGGCAGAATTGAATAGAGGAGCGACAGAAAATAATGCACAAAAACATTGTAATGCTCATATACAAATCCACCACAGTAAACAGCAGCAAACAGTAAAAGAGATCTCTCGGTAGAAAATAAGAGGTACAAATCATACTAAAAATAGCCTTAGCAAGTGTTTCCACCATAAATCACTGGAATTCAGCATGGTCCAAAAAATTTCACCACTATGGTAAAACGCTCTCACTTAACAAAGAAAATCTAGAGATCCACTACCATAACCACACGTAAAATACCATTCATTCTTCTTTTAGCCGTCGTTGGACCAACATTTCTTCTTCACTTATTCTTAGTTCTTAGAAACTTACTCATTAATCAGCAATCATGAATAATTATCAAACCATATAAATTCATGCCTGAGCATCAGTTATCCGTCGAAGAGGAGAGCCACCACCAATTGAAGCATAACCTTCTTTGCTCTTAGGTGCTCTAGCAACAGATATGAATTGCGCAAGCGGCCTTTGCAAAAACCGAAACAGCCTTGGCAATCGAATAATATCCTATTCAAACCAAACAATCCAAGTTAAAACCCATCAAACAAAAGAGTGAAACACAATAGCGTCCAAGAAACCGACATATAACTTACAGGATCAGCAAAAAGATTGAATAAAAATGGCTGCACATCTTCAAGAGACTCAGGGCCACCAAGATTAAGCAACAAAACACCAATTTTTCCGTCACAAACAACATTAACAGGATCTGTGGACACTTGTTGGGGCCTAGAAGTGACCAATGCTGAAGGCATCATAGATGGTTTCAAGGAGCATCTAGCAGCTACTAGTGAACAATTTTTGGGTACCCTTAAACAAGAAGCTGCGAAGGGTACACTGCTTTGACCATCCACTTGATGGAATGGTGAATAGGATGTGCAATTCGCCGGCGACGCGGATATTTCACGGCAGAAAATCACCGGCTGCGCCATTGCTGACTTGACTGCAAAGGGGAAGACTGATCTGGGATAATGCTTTTTGTGGGGACTAAAATGAGGAGAGAAAAAATTTGACAAATCAGTAAGTGATGACTTTGATATTTTGGTCAGTGAATTTGTTGGGAAATTATTGTGGAAAAGCTTTTTGGCGTGTAGTTGGTCTCCTCCACAAGTTCCGGATAATAACGGCACAGCAAATGGACGTATAAGCCCCGTTTGTATTGGGTACTTTTAAGCCATAATAGCCTTTAAGCCATTTTGTAGCGTTTGGATAAAATAAAAAAATATTTTTAAGCACTTGTTTTTAAGCTAAAATGACAAAAACAAACCAAAAGTCAAAAGTTAGAATTCCTAACTTATGACTTAAAAGCTATTTTGGCTTAAAAATCACTTAAAACAAGTTCATTCAAACGGGCTCTAAGTCCCCTTTTAGCTTGTTTTGGTGTTCGGCAAGTTCAAAAGAGTTCTTTTAAGCCAAAACAAGCTTCATATTCGATTAAATATTTTATTTTCCTATCCCTTAATAATTTTTATAATTCCAAAATTAACCTTCAAAATAAAAGCTCCTTTCTTCTCTGTTCTCCGTCCTTGCTGTGTCATTCCTCCATCACGCATCTGCCTTCCCTATGTGTAATGACCCGACCGGTTATTTTATGTATTTGAGTCCTGTTTCCCCTTTTGAAGTTTTATGACTTGAGTGGATGATTGGTTTCGTTTCGGGGAGGTTTTGCAATAATTTGGAACAATTGGTTCCTAGTTTAGAAACTTAAGTTAAAAAGGTTTGACTTTTGTGAAAACGCTCTCGGAACGGTATTTTGATGGTTCTAATAGGTTCATATGATGATTTTGGACTTAGACGTATGCTCGAAATTGGATTCGGGGGTTCCTAGGTTGATTTGGCTTGTTTTGCCTAAAGTTGGCAATTTCAAGGTTTAGAAATGTCCAAGTTTGACAGTAGGTTGACTTCATAGCTATCGGGTTCAGATTTTGGTTCAGGACTTCAAATAAGTCTGTTTATCATTTGGAACTTTTCTACAAAGCTTGGCGTCATTCCGAGTTGGTTAGATAGGAATCGGACGCTTGGTTGTGATTTTGGCAATCATTGAATTTCATTGTGAATCCTATGTGTTTTGATGTCTGATTCGTGGTTTCGAATATTATTTTGGTGTTTCATTCGTATGATATTTTAGACTTGTGTGGATGTTGGTGCTAGGCAGATATTGCAGGTCTCGCAAATGCGAGATCTTATTCGCATTTGCGAGGTGGGATGGGGGCTGAGATGTTCGCATTTGTGATTGGGGGACCTTGGCGAGGGTGATCTCTTTTGCAATCACAGGATCGTTTTTGCGAAGGAGCCTGACTTCGCAAATGCAAAGTCAGGGTCACATTTGCAACATTTTCACGGATCCACAGGCGTCGCATTTGCGATGGTTCTTCCGCATTTGTAGGGGTTCGCAAATGCGAACCCCAGGTTGCATTTGCGACTTCTGCACCTAAACAAAAGTTTGAAATTTCGGGACTTAGTCTCATTTATCACATTCTTTAGCCCTAGACTCGGTGGGAGGCGATTCTAGGAGGAGATTTTCATATAAAGTCTTTGGGCAAGTGATCTTGACTCAATTTTGATTATATAACATGATTATTTATGAGATTTAACATCTAATCCATGTAATTTGAAAAGTAATTTTGGAGATTTCTGACTATGTTTTGAAAAATAAAAATTTGAGATTTGAGAGTCCAATTGGACTCGAATTTGAAAACCAAACGCACATATGGACTCGTGGGTTTATGAGTAGTCTAGATCTACCCTTCGACTCGGATTTTGACTGGGTGGACCAAGGATTAACTTTTGAAGAATTGTGTAAAGACCTTAACTATAGTAATCGAAATTTGTTCGATATTATTAATTCATATTTTGCTAGATTTGAGTCGTGCGGAGGTGAATTTTACGAAAAAAGCTATTTTTGAGTGTTGAATTGGCATAATTGAGGTAAGTATCTTGCTTAACTTTGTGTGCGGGAGTTACCCCTTAGGATTTGGTCTAATTGCATTAAATGTACTATGTAAAAAAACATGTACATGAGGTGATGAGTGTGACACTGGCTTATGTGTGGTAATGACTGGATTAGACTTGTAGATATTAATATGCCTTGAATTAAAGTTGTTGTTATATGGAATACATTTCATTGTTGAGTTACTCCCCGTTTCCTTGTATTGTTGTTGAAATTATTCTATTCATTATTGTAGAGCCATGTGCTGTGTATTATTGTGATATTGGTATTGTTGTTTGGGAAATGTTGTAGCATATGAGCACTTGTTGTGCGAGTTAATTTGTTGTGTTGTGATGAGATGTGCATACAACTACATAAAGGTGGTGAGAATTGATGCGGAAGCGGTGAGATAAGGGGGCTTATGTGCCTATTGCTAGTAAGAGAAAATACTTTATTGTGAGGCACACGCGGCGAGATAGGGGGTTTGTGCGTGTGAAGCTATTTCGGAAAAATATTTTTTTTAAATGTGAAGCTCACACGGCATCATAATGGTGACTTGTGATTTGTGATTATGAGGTGTGGTACCTCGGGTGATTCTTGTTGTAAATCTTGTGTTGGAACGACTTGATGATTCGATCTGCCATTGTTTTCCTTTATTTATTTCACTTGTATTTTAACTGAGTTTTGGTTAATTTGTTGTGTTATCACATGTTTACACTTTGTTGCCATTTATTGATTTTACTTTGCGTTGTTAGCTTTATATTTATATTCTGTACATGTTTTATGTCTAGTTAGTGTCTTGACTTGAACCTCATCACAACGTTAGTCTTGATTCTTACCGGGTACCATTTGTGGTATACTCATACTTCTGCATATTTTTGTGCAGCTTCAGGTATCTCGGATCATGCCAGACGATAAAGAGTTGAGATGAGCTAGAGTTGCAAAGACTTCAAGGTATACCTATTGTTCCCGCTCGTAGGCCTCGTAGTCACCTTCTGTTATTTTCCTATTACTGTTATTTGTATTCCAAAACAATAATGTATTTGAGATTTCTAGTGTACACTCAGTAAAGCTTATGACTTGGTACTACCGCTTTTAGGATTTATGTGACTTTCGTATTTCCTTTTCGGTTATGTTATAGCATTAATCAGTTCTTATTTAAGTAATTAAGTTGTTTTATTATGTTGATCTTGCCTTGTGATAGGCTTACCTAATCCTAGGAACTAGGTTCCATCACGATCCTAAAAGTGGGATTTTGGGGTCGTGACAAGTTAGTATCAAAGCTCTAGGTTCATAGGTTCGACGAGTCATAAACAAGTTTAGTAGAGTCTTGCGGATAGGTATGGAGACGTCTGTACTTACCTTCGAGAGGCTATGGAACTATTAGAAAATTCTACTTCTTTCATTCCTTATCGTGTGGATTTATTGATTTCGGAATTTGAATCTTTGTCTTTCTATTCTTTCACATATACTGAGGACACGAGCTTCAGTTACTGATGATGCTGCCCCCCGTATCGGTATTGCTAGAGGTCTGGGCAGAGGCTGAGGTAGAGGCGAAGCACGTGCTATAGCTAGAGGCCGTGCTAAGGCCGTGATTGAGAAGCCACTAGTGGCTCCAGTTGGGGAGCAAGCACTCGAAGCGCCTATTGCTACCCCTAGACTTCAGGAGACTTTAGTGCATTTTCTAAGCATGTTCGGTACCTTGGCTCAGGAGGGATTGATCCCAGTTGCACTAGCTACTTCTCAGGCTGGGGGAGGAGATCAGACTCTAACCGCCTGTGCTGCAAAGCAGTGATAACTAGGGATTATAGTTCATTTTATACTCCTTTTTACTTGAGTTTTGATTAAAAATGTATACAAATTAGTCCCAAAGGATTACATGTTGTACTTGTTTGCAAGGTTTGGTAAAAAAGGTGACAATTAGTCAAAACCAGCTCAAAAAAGAGTGAAACATGCACAAATACCAAGAACAAGTCAAAGCACAGCTACAACGGACCCACCGCGGCCGCAATCCATTTAGTGCGGTCCGCGGTGAGGAGATTCAGAGAGGTGCTGATTTTAGAGGATCAAGCACTGCGGACACAACCCATTTTGTTCGGACCTCAGTCCTCTTCACGGCCGCAATCCATTTTGTGCGGTCCGTGGAGAGGAGGATTCAAAGAGTTGGTAATTCGGACGAATGAAGCCAGTGCGGTCCGCGGAGCATTTTATGCGGACTGCAATGAAGCCGCCGCGATTGCGGTGCATTTTGTTCGACCCGCGGTGGCCAGATTCAGAGAATGATTAATCAAGCCAAGAAGCCTCATCGCGATCCGCAATGCATTTTATGCAAACCGTAGTACCTCGTCAGGGGTATTTTTGTCCAAAAAATTCGGGTTAGTATAAATACTTTCTTTTCATATTTTTAGGGTATCTTTTGTAATCTGTTAGAGACCAGAGCACATGAACGGTGTTTTATGTCCATTTTGAGTAATTTGTAGCTAGATTAACACTGAATCTTCTTTATCTTAGTTTGTAATTAAATCATATTGGTTATTCTTCATCTATTTCTCTGTTTTTTTTTCATTATTATGAGTAGCTAGACCCATTATCTAGGATTGTGGCTCAACCCTAGTGTGGGTATTTGATGGGTCTTTTGATTTAAGGCTTAGATGTTTATGGGTAGTTGATATTTGGACTGATTTGTGTTTTCCATGTTGAATTAGTGGTTGCAAACATTAATTTGTGCCTATTTGACTTGGGCTCTTCTTGAGAAAGAGAGCTTGAGTCTAGGAAAATCAGACCAACAAGGAATTGGTAGTGTAATCAAGAGATTGATATCCCCAATTAAAGGGTTAAACCTAGAGATAGTCAATACCCGACTTGAGCCTATATTGCTTGCACAATTTTGACACCCAATTGGTCTTGAGAAAGTCAATTAGGGCAAAGTCATTCAAGCTATCGAGAGGTATAGAGTGAGTAACTCCGTGCATTGGCTATATCACAATCTCCAACATAACGTCTTTGCCTTAAGCTTTAGATCCCTTCAAGTATTCACCTAGGAGAAAGTCATTTCCCTAGTTCCTCTTTAACTATTTAGAAAACCTTACAATCAATCATTCTTAGTTTAATTTAGCTTATCATT